TGTTTCTACTATTTTTTCTACTAGTTCCGGTATCAATAAATCTTCCTTTATGATAATATTGAACTGTAACAAGTCCCTTCATATCACACTCCTTCACTTATGAATCAATACTTGACTGTTGGTTCAAAAGGAGAAAATTTGGATTGATTTCACAAGAAATAGGCTGTTGAAAATTTAAAAAAAAGGGCATATCCCAATCAATGAGCTAATCACAAATATGAGGTCTAGAAAGGAATTGATGTGCCAATCTTATCTTTACTTTGCAAAGAGCTTGTTTTCATGATTCAAAGTGAGATATTATCAGTCACATAGGGACAAACTTTTTATTTAGATAGAGTATTTCCAAGATCAAATCTCCTGATCAAATATAAATTTTTAACTAATCCATTTTTGTGGGCCCCATTAATATTTAAAAAATTATATAGAAATCCTAAAAAAAATCATTTATTGACTCTAAAAGAACTTTTCAGACCTTTTATTTAACTAAAAATCTTATAATATCTTATTGGACATTGTGATAAATTATACCTCTAAACACACTCATTGTTATCACTATAAATAGAACTTTATAAGGAAGGGTTTGACATCCTAAGATAAACAAATAAATAGAAAGGAAAGTAAAAGAGCTAGAAAAGAGGCTGCCAACTGAGGAAAGGTTTCACCATTCAGGTATTGCTAGTTTTGATTCCATTACTAGTATTATCATAATGAATTATGATTCTCTTGAAATTACATCTTACACATAAATTCAACAAAAAAATAATTCTAGCCATTTAAACATAAAACATGAAAAGAAATCAATATTTAATTAAAAAAACAATTCAAATAATATCAAATCAGAAGAATCTTTTGAATTCTTCATTAGAAATATGCTGGCATATAAATGGAGAAGCTCAATGATCATCACGAAAACTCACATTCTAGTTTTATAAATGAAATATTAAGGAAATGCAAATCATCTGAAAAAGTTTAGCTATTTATTCAACCAAGCATGAAAAATACTGACACCTTGACGAAATTAAAAGCTTGTAATCAAGTTCTTTCCACCAAATGCCAAAGATGAAAAAAATTATCAATGAGGCATTATCTTACAAACCATTTCATATCTCTACTTCCCCTCAACCAAAATCCATAAAATCCAATTTTCGATGCTCAATATCAAACTCTGCCGTTAGCATCCTCGATGCCCATTCAAGATCCATGTCAACCATACATATGAAGCAACATCTTCTATCCATTCTCCCATGAAATATATAATTATTTACATAGAACTCTTATTCATTTACAATATTAATAATACTTTTTAAGGATTATTTCATCCTACAATGACTCATTATTTTTTCTTAATTTTTAAATAACATAAGATCATGATTCTACAATATTAATGGTAAGAATACATATACATTAAATAAATTTAAAATCTATTATGAGCTGGCTACATCAACTACATTTTTTTAATACAAAAAAAAGAATACTATATCATAATCTTATAATAATGCTCACTATAATTATAATTTTATTAAGCTCATATTTACATTTTAAACCCTATCAGCGCGCACTCAGTCCAGACTGTCCATTGTAATTAAGCTACAAAGAGAAGAGAGTAACACCAACAATGTCTTCACCACATTTAGCTCTCGTTTTCACGAGAGGTGATTAAGTTGCCTCTTGCTCATTGACATAAACAAAGTGGTATCTCTCTACTTATCTTCAAATTCATATTGAGAGAAATCCTTAACGTGCATCTCTTTTAAAAGCTTGGTAATTTTTTTTATCTACGTGCTCCCATTAATATATGTTGGTCTCATCGAACGAGGTAAACTTTTATTTCACATTCTCTGATATCTAATGTATTTTCTCGCTCCTTTTCATTGAAACTTTTCTTACTATCATGGCAAAATAATTACGTACACACGCCACATTTTTTCTTGTTCCTTTCTCACCTTCTTTTGTCTTCCTTTGCATATCAATGGTCTCATCCTCAGTCCAATCCTCCCCTCCTCTTTCTCATCATTTCCCCATTCCAACTTTATTATACGATCTTCCCATACTCAATTCAATCCATGATAACTCTAATAGCACATAATGATTATTATATTAGGCACTTGCCTTTCTCCATCAACCCTACGAGGACATCACCCAAATCTTGCTTCTCTCTGTACTCGACTCATCCGTAAAATCAATGAGTTGGAAGAGCTCAAGTTCGAGCAACACGTTTGAAACCTAATAATTTTGGTCGAGTAAAGATTGACATATTATTTACACCGCTAGGTAACCTAGCTATTATGCTACATGTTCTAATGCCAACTTTATCACAACCAAAGCAGCTATTAAATCCTTTCAAACAAAATTTTGTCATTTAAATTCTTAAAAGGAAAATTTACACACATACCACTCAATTCTTTTGTTTATATATATTTATATATATATGTCACGTCGGTGCCTAGCCGAAGGATAATTGTCTTTTGTACGCCTAAGGACAATTTAGTCGTTTATTATTATTATTGTTTGGTATAAATAAACTTATTATGTTTAGAGTTACGTGGATCATGAGATTGTTGTTGTGAGACTTGGGCTCAGGGTTGGTAGAGATTTCCTACCTCTAAAATTGTAGGAATTGAAAGAGATCACACACCTCTAGAATTATAGGTGCTTATCTTTATGTCTTCGTGAGAGTTATTAGTATTGTATTACTTTGATTTGGTATTCAAGAAATAAAATGTGTTTACACTAATTTCTGTGAAAAAACATGCCGATTTTGATGTCGAATATTATCAAATTGGTATCATGGCATATTTTGAAAATTAAGGGATCGTAGTGTCCGAAGTTCTCCACAGTTTCTAAGCATCAAATTACAACACGAATTCAGGGATTGCCACATTCAGAGTTCCGCACAGATCAAAAACCATGCACAACTATTTCTAAGCTCATAAGTTCAGCTTAAATAAGTTCTTAAACTGTACAAGGAGCAATGAAAGCCAAGAAAATAGATGGCTTGGAGAAAAAAATAGAGGAAGAGAAGAGTCAACCTAAATGTAGAATGGAAAAAAGGTCTGCCATCATAAGGATAGGTTTTTTTTCCATGGAAAACCGAATGGAAGGCCGTCTTGAAAGGTTTTCTTCGAGGGAAAACTGAATGGAGGACCGATTTGAAAGTTTTGAGGGACGATAAAGAGACTCATTGAGATGCAATCTAAGACCACGCCTGCGGCTTAATTTGCAAAACCTAACCAAAAGTTGACCAGAGAATTCGGAGCCAGATCGAACGGGAAAGAGATCTAATGTAAGGACCATGAGGATAAAAATATCCAACATCACGAACTTCTCCCTAGGGCTACAAAGGGAGGTGGATTAGAGATTTCAGATAGAGGGGGTTAGGCTAAGACATGGAGGAGAGGTTATGCAAGGGGTTGGAGGAGCTCGAAGAAAGAATGAGAGAGACCAAAATGGCATATGACTATGTTCGGAGGGAGTTTCATCCTAGATACATGGGGGGGAAACACCAGAGGAAGAGGACCTTGGTGATGCTTGGTTTGATAAGTTGAAGATGCTGATTTTCGAGAGAGAAGACACACATGGGTGGGTATATTGTGTAAATCGATACAGTGAATGAACTAACTGGGGAGGAGAAACTCATGGCAATAATGCTATGTTTGGATGGAAAAGACCTAACATGATTTAAGTGGGGGGAGGCTAGATATCCAATCCATATGTGAGAAGAATTTAATGATCATTTTTGGGAACGTTTCCAAGCCATTATGGAAGGAGATCTATACGAGCAATTCTTTGCCTTGAATTAGAGGTACTGTCATGGAATATAAGAAGAGATTTGAGCTATTGTTGGAATGACTGAGAGGGAATTTTGAAGCAGGATTGAAGGAAAATTTCAGGAAGGGCCCAAACCTCGACATACGGGCAACACTCCAACTATTGAGACCACGAGGATTGAGGGAAACAATGAAGCTAGGCTAACAGAGAACTAGAACTAGATGGAGAAGGCCAGTAGAAGCATCATCAATGGAGCGTCGTATCGAACTGCTACAACTACGACAATACCAAAAGCTTAAACATGGAACTTCAGAGGAAAGCTGCACGGGGCAAAAATATTGTGTCATGGCCGGGAGCGACACTCAAGCGCCTTACAAAAATAAAGTTTTAGGAGAAGCAAGCCAAGGGATTGTGTTTCTGATGAGAAAAGAAGTTTATTCCATGACATCGTTGTAAAAATTGAAATTACAAGTTCTCGTAGTGTGTAACAAGGAGGCAAATGGTGAAAAATAGAAACAACTGTAGTGACGAAGGAACACTGACTTTTTCTCACCTTGAGGACAAGGTATCTCTGGGGGAAGGGAGATATTTTTCATCGGTACCAGCCTGAGCACAATTTTGTATTTTGTATGCCTAAAGACAATTATTCCTTTATCATTATTGTTGTTGGGTATAAATAGGCTTATTATGTTTAGGTTTAATGGGATGCATTAGATTGTTGTTATGAGTCTTAGGTTGTGAGAGATTTCTTACCTCTCGAATTATAGGAATTGGGGGAGATCGCCTACCTCTTGAATTGTAGCTGCTTATCTTTATGTATTTATATGAATTATTAGTGTTGTATTATTTTGATTTGGTGTTTGGGAAATATAATTTATGTTTGTCCTAATTTCTATGAAAAAACAATGCCGATTTTGACACCGGATCGTATCAATATCATACATCTAAACTTTAATTTTTACGCACAATGCCACCTTCCCTCTACATCTTCCCAATACATGAAAAGATGTGTTTCACTTTTTAGAAGTTAAAAATAGTAATATTTTTTATGAGATATGAAATAATTGAGTGGTAAAAATGTAATAATTAAAGTTTGCGTGTTAGAAATGCCTTAAAAATGATTAATACACAACTCTAGCCATTCCATTTGTGTAATAGTTTCTACCTGCAACATAATAGGACCACTTAAACCATGGATAGAACGTTACAAGTTACGACCATTGGGTGCTTACCTTCAATACCATATGACTGGGACGAGAAGGATATGCGAACCAGACATCATTGAGTTCCACTTCGCTATCTTTCTCACTATAACAAAACAAAAAACTCTAATAATAAGGATGTAAAAATAAATATGGATGAGATAAGACTTAGAATCAGCACATAAAGGTTTCAGCTTTTTGATAAACTACCTAGCGGGACATTTATCGCCAGATTTCGGCATAGTTGAGGCCCGATCGAGAAGCTGAAAAACTCTCCGGCTCGCACCTGCAGCTTTCATCATTGTCGTATACAATCCCGATAGGGACGAGACTGACGAACCAACTGCAGTTACAATAATAGAACAAAGAGGCCGTCAAAAGGTCATGATATATAGAAATCAATTATTTATGCAGTTCATCATATTAAGTTCTAGAGAATGCAGAACAATTTTGGGAAACTTACATACAGTTGGGAAACTTACATACGGATAATTCTTATGTATTTACATATCACACACCTAAACTTCCATATTTACATATGTATACCACTTTGGTGCTTTAAACCTATGCATGTAAAGGTGAAATTCACTGCTAAAAAGTGGTAACAGTGCTATTTCTGGTGTGATATAAATGATTTGAGTGCTATTTGTGTAAATATTAAAGTTTAGGTGTGATATGTAAAATCAAATATTTTATCTTCATGGGAGATTTTCATTTTGCTTGATAAAATATACCTGTAAGGCTGTAAAGGATGAAAGAAGTCAACTCCCCAGTTGTCATGGATCCCTTGATGGTGAGGTTGGCTCCATAGAGTACTACAATGGCGACCGACAACGTGGATGCTGCATTCATTCCACCAGAAAAGAGACCAACAACTTTCTGAAACAAATTCATTTAAGGTTCAAAATCCAAGTATCTCATCCACAAGTGTAAAAGTGAAAATCATAACTCACGGCTTGCTTGAGACCGAGCTTCAAGGTCTCATCCACTTTAGCTGAATAGCGAGAAATTTCATATTCCTCCTGAGCGAAAGACCGTACGGTGCGTATAGCTCCAAAACTTTCCTACAGAGGGGCGTCATATATGAGCTTAAGTTATAATTTCATTTGCCTATCGCATATTTTCTTAAAAAAAGTATATTTAAAAGACGAAAAAGAATACTATGAAGAATTCAGGTTCTGTAATGTCAGGAAGAAGGCACATCATTGTTCAAAAAAAGAAAAATCTAGGGACTTCACAAAACTTGAATAAGGCTGTCACTCATTGAGGGGGCAAATTAGAGCTGTGCTTGACTGATTCCTCGAAACATAAGTGTATAATAGCTACCGCATGTTATGTGGAAGAAGCCTGATATGAAAAAGCTAGATCAAAATGTTGACCTCATTTTCAGTGAGGTCTTAGTCTCCTACTCTTAGAACCCAAAATCTAGCTTTAGGAGTTCCTTATTGACCATCCTAGTAAACTAATAATGGAGCCCACCTCCCATAGAACTTCGAGCCACATTTTGACTCATTTTTGTATAGATCTCGCTTAAGTAGTCCCAAACACTCGACTCTTAGTTGCAAGAGCTAAGGACTAACATGTAGAGGACCCGCAAATGAGTTCTCATAGGATCAAACGGCCTTAGGAGAACCATTTGTGACTCAAACACTCGTGAAATCCACAATTTACACACTCACTGCACCACGCACGATGTTGACTTGAATTGACATGACCGTCAGCAAACTTGTTTGAACGACCTCGAATGACGAAACGAACCGCACAGACGCGTTCGAAACGTTTACTTTAGCTAGAAATGACACATATATTGCTATGACCTCACGTGCGAGCAATCAACACGAAAATTGATGCACGCTTTTTTAAATTAGTAAAGCGCGGGCCTAGGCTCAACCCATGTTTAACTCGAATTCGATTCGGGCTAGACTCGGGCTGAACAAGGGTTAAACAATTTTGAATTAAAAATTTTTGAATTTCAAATGACTTATTTAATTTCATCATAATTAAATTCATTTGGAAGTTATTATCAGCCAAATAAAACTTCTCTGCCTATGGAAATCAATTGTTTTACGTAACGCCTCTCTTGACTATACAATTCGGCCCCACTCCTATTCGAAAAAAAGAACTCTTCCCCTCACTTGCTCTCTCCCGCCCCTTCCTCCCCCTCTCCGCCTCACGCACCGAAATCCCCGCGATCGGCTTTCTTTCTTCCTCCACTCAATCACGCTCGTCTCTTCCTCGTCAGAGACATTCGACGCCCTCTCCTCCTCCCGCTCGCCAGCTCCTCTGCTCCCGCACGCCTGCTCGCCTCTGCAAACCGAAGCATTCAGCCCCGCTCCTCTGCTCGATTCGGCTCTCCCGCTCGTCTCGCTCGCCCGCTCCTCCTCCGCCCGCCAGCTCCTCTTCTGCGACTCGATCACAGCTCTAGCCGAAGCTCCTGCTCGCCTCCCTCGCTCGACCGAACTCCCTCTTCCTCTCTCGGGCCCGACTCCCTCCTTCCTCGCTCGACCAAAGAAGCCCTCGACTCCTCTCTCTCGGCTTCACCTTCCCGCACCGAAAGCTTTGGCCGACACTCCACTTCACAGGCAAAAGCATAGTCGAATTCCCTCCTACTCGCAGCATTTGAGCAATTGAGATTCTCGTTACCGCAACTCTCGCTCCCTTCCAGGGCTGCACTGTTCCCTCATCCTTCTAAGGTGTATTCGGTAATATCTACTGTTGTTCTTTAGCACTTTTAAATATAAACTTTTTCTAGCATTTATCTGAAAGAACATTCGTTACATGTCATAGTATTTTGGCATTAAAACTTACGTTCAAGACATGGATCTGTAAGAGTTATATCTTTAAGCCTTTTAACGGTATATCAATGATCAAACTTTGGCAAGCAATAACAAATTTAGGTTTTATTTTTGGTAGTATTATGCTATGTTTGTAGCAAACCATGTTCTTGGAGTTGATTAGAATTCAACAGGAAGGCTGAAATTCCTGCACTCATATGCTTACAATTCAGTTGATTTTCTTTAGTCAAGGAAGAATTACACACACATCACATGATTCTCATGGATTTACATTTATAACAACTTAAATTTTAATTTCTCTACATGTACATCTTTGCGCATATGCGCTAGAAACCGTATCGATGTTGTTTTGACATACTACAAAAGATTTGGGTGAAGTAATGTAAAATTGAGACTTATGTGTTAAACATGTAAACACAAAACACAATAGGGGTTGCCGGGGATGCATGCGAGGACCCATTTGATCCTTTATGCTGGATTGTTTGGTATTGTTGTTTTGAGAGGATCTAAATACTGTTTTTGAAATCAAATGGGTGCTGATTGGAGACGGTTTAAGCCCCGTTTTGGGCTAATTTTTTCGTTGTTTTGGAGAGTGATTTGGGGACTTTTAAATTGTCTTTTTGGGACTGTTTCGAGGATATTTCCTTTGTTGTTCGGAGAGTTAAAAATGTTGTTTAGTGGCTTTAAGAGTGCTGGAAAATACTTGAAAATTGCTGAGAGAGTTGTGGGGTGCCGTGTCAAGCTTGCTAGTCACTGTCCATATAGCTGTTATCCGGAGTTGTAGGAAACCGTAGGATCACTGTCCGGAGTTCCTAGTTGCTATTTGGATTCTTAGGAAGTCATACAAATGTTGTGTAGTGTTGTATATTGCTGTTTGGATTTGTTAGAAGCCAATAAAACACCGCACAAGCTTGCTAGTTGCTGCCCGGAGCGGTAGGAGGTCGTATGATCACCACACGAACTTTTCAGTTGCTGTTTGGAGTCGTAGGAGGTCGTAGGATCACCGCACGAGCTTGATAGTTGCTATCCAGAGCCGTAGAAGATCGTAGGATCACCAGTTGCTGCTCGGAGCCGTAGAAGACCGTAGGATCACCATTGGGAGTTCCTAGTTGTTGTCCAGAGTTGTAGGAAGTCATAGGATCACCTGCTTGGAGCTTTTGACTGCTATTACGACTTGTTCTATTGCTTTTTACACTAGAATTATTGCTTTCTTTTTTTTTCCTGCAAATCATTTAAATTCCTTGCAAATTATATTATATTTTGTGAGCTAAATACGCAACAGAGATAACAACAGTAGATACGTCAGATACGCAAATACATTTTATTATTGTTATTTTATCACTGCAATTTACTCTTGCTCTAATATATCATTTAGGTCTGATTGCGATTTCAATTTAAAAACAAAAAAATATTCAAAAAATTGAACAACATTTTCAAAACAAAATAGTTTTTTTTTCAAAATTAAACAACATTTTCAAAACAAAAACAAAAAAAAAAACATAACACGTCCTTTTGAATTTACGGGAGTCCCTCAAATGAGGTAACCCACGGTTGCTAACAAGATTTTCCCAGTTTAAATGAGTTGTTAAGCTCATTTAAACTAAGTAAATTCAAAAGAAAATAGTGATGTCGGAAACGAGAGAGCCGTGGGATCCTAAAAGATGTCGCTTTAATCAATTTTAATCTTCCCTTATAATGCTTGAATGACAACAAAAACAAAACCTTGAAACACACCTGGTAAAAACTTTTGAATCTTAGACATTAGGAGTGCTACTTCAACAAGGAGCTTGGAGTCAGCTTTGTGGGCAGCACGGCAAGGAACTTGAATTGAGCAACAAGATGATCTTCTTCAACAATCTCTCTCATTAGTCTAAATAACAACCCATATGACTTCGAGGTAGCTCGCCCAGCGCGATGTAAATCCTTACACCCTTTTTAGGCTCCTGTACAACCATGTTGTGCAGCGTAAGTCCTAGCTCGCCTTAGGTTTCGAGGTTGTCGTGTGACACGATGTAAATCCTCTTATCTCTATGGGCTATTTGCATAATCGAATATTATGCAAATGCAAATCTCAAATAATAAAATTAGCAGGATTAAAAATCTAAATAAAATCGTCTCCAAAACTCAGCCACACATTAGGATAGCTTGGGAAATCACTAAAATTTTTATTCAGGATCTGTGACATCCCCTACCTCTTTCTTCCTTCGGACTCATAAAAATAATTGTTCTTATTTAAGTCACTTTCACTTCTCTTTCCACGTCCTACCGTGAAAACCTAAACCTCAATTCTTGAATACCAGTACCTCTGATCATTATCGAGAGTTTTCTCAAGTGACCCCTGTCATTTGGGATGTAATTAATTATAGGGGCTTGTCTCTATAAGAAATTTGGAACTAAGATAAAATAAACCCTATATAATCTTTTTATTAGATAGGAAAACTTGTCGGTCACATATAAAAGGTTCGCAGACCAAACGGATGTCACAAATCTCTTGATTTGCAGGATTGGGTCCATCGCTGAGGTATACACTTACCTTTCGAGAAGGTGTAATATTCGCAGTATCGGACATGATTATGCAAACTATTAAACGAATGAGATTCATTTGGTCATATTTTTTGAAAATTAAAACATACTAAATTACATACCTCTTATATTAACTTAAATTTCAAAATTATTTTCAATTCTTAAAAATCAAAAAGTTGACCGACACAAACACTCATCAAAATCTTCCATTTATTGATGTTATAATGTCATAATAAACTAACACGAACCTCTAAATATCATCACTCTATTGGTTTAATTTACTTATTTGTACACTCTAAATACTAATCATTAGGATGACATTTCCAAAATTTTACCTCGCCATCATCAGATTTAACTAGTATAACCATTCCATTTCCTTTATGAACAACCCCACCTCACACCGTTGTTTCATCTCATCTTCGCTTCCAAACACCAGCAATGTTTGGGTTTAAGGGATCCCTAGGGACGAAAATCACTAAGGTTGGTTCACCTAAATATTGATTATTAGGTGCTTGGCTCACTTCTTAACGAATGGATCAAATATGAGTTACTTAGCGAGCTAAACACGGCTTGTTCAACGATGAACTTTTTTGACAACCCCATTGGCATACAATCTCAAACAAATGTACTCTCTAAATTCATGAAGATTAAAAATTTGAGCATTGGAGGATGCACCTTAAAGCACCAACCATCAGATGAGTTGATCTTTTATTTAAGTTGCTTATGTGCAACAAAATGTAATCAAATCTAGACATAATTGTTTCCTTCAACTCTTATTGTCATAAAATTCAATTTGTAGCACTATAAAACAGTAATAATTATGTTGTTCTAACCACCTTCATGAAATCAAATTTTCATAAATTTGATCCTCTACCAATTTTAGTTGAAAGGGTCAAGTTCACCATCACCAAATTGAAGACCTCAACCAATTCATTCACCGATAGGCAAAAGCACTTTCAGAATTCAATAAGCTGTTGGCATGCAAATATATACGTTGTCACGAAAAAAATTGAGATTAGTGTTAAAAACTAAACGGTAAGATCCCATCTTTGTATATGTTGTTCTAACCACCTTCATGAAATCAAATTTTCATAAATTTGATCCTCTACCAATTTTAGTTGAAAGGGTCAAGTTCACCATCACCAAATTGGAGACCTCAAACAATTCATTCACCGATAGGCAAAAGCACTTTCAGAATTCAATAAGCTGTCGGCATGCAAATATATACGGTTAAAAACTAAACGATAAGATCCCATCTTTGTGGAGAAAATTCAAACCATAGATCGTATAAAAAATTGTATCCCTTTAAGATGATGTTTTCACAAATTTGAAGAGTGGACTATTAATGTTACACGAAGCAACACGTAAAAAATAAAATTTGCAACATGCATCAAAATGATGAAGCCCAAAAAGATAACAATGTATTATAATATTCAAAAAACCTTTAAGCGCATAAAAAATTTCTCTTAGGACCAGCATGATTGCAAAAAATTACTAGAGATGCATAGACAAGGGTCGAATGAAAAATATCTGTAACACCATTATACTTAATTGATAAGAGAAAGTTAGACACTAAAAACAGTTCCACAATGTAATACTGACAAAAAAATTTATAATGATCATCAGAAAAATAAAAACAAACCTCAGCTATTGAAGCAGCTACAGCAGCTGCAGCCTGAGTCTTATGGGAAAGTTCCCGAAGAAAACGCCCAAACTTACGCACAACCACAGATATAACAGGCACTATAACTAATGCCAGCACTGTAGGAAGATAAATCAATGAGTTTGATTTTCATGAACAGCTCATATAAAACTGATACGAATCAATGATGCAAAACCATCACTGTATTTAGATTTACAAAATATTTAATTTACCAGGCAGTCACAAGAGAAACGTGGATGGACAGAGACCAAGATAAAAAGTATAAAGAGTAAAGTGCCAAAATAGTCCCCAAACTATTTTTATTGGGTCATTTCCAAGACTCTCAATTTAGGCTAAAATAGTTCTCACTGGGCAATCTTTAAAGAAAAATAAAAAATGATGTAATCAGACATTCACTACAACAATAAAATTCCTCCATTTGGAGGTGAAAACAGATGCATCTTTTTCATTTAAAAATGTTCAAAGATAAAGCCAACTCCTTTCTACGAGTTCGTTAAAACTAGTATATCAACCATTAAATACAAATTTTCTAAAGCTAAATTCAATATTTTCTTGCATAAAGCTAAATACGGGGTCATTACAGGATAATTTCAAAAAGGACCATTACATACATACAGCCCAATTCTTATGTTTTTATATATCTAACACCTAAAGGTCCTAAACTTTTTACATTTATACCACATGAAACTTTTGTATCACATCAAAACTACGATTAATTTAACTTTTAAAAATTGAAATAAAACTTTCCATGCATAGGTAAAGTGTCATATATGTTAAAATTGACTTTTAGGTGTTAGATATGTAATATATAAAAATTGAATGGTATGCGTGCAAATCTTCCCTTTCAAAAAGACAGTTTATCGAGCCACATTGATACCAGAACTAGTAGGAAAATAGTGGAAACACAAAAATAAACTTTTATTAGTAGGGAAATAGGGTTACAACACAATACAAACTGAAAATAACCACACAAAACATAAGATGTTGGCATCCACATTTGATGCAACATACGCAAAACATCCTCATCTAGTGACACAACATTATAATTAGGTTATATACCTTCATAGTCGTACTCCGAGTCGGTCGTGGTCAAACTAGCATTGCCATTGGTGTCCTCCGCGATGACGTTCATTCCTGTGGCATGGGGCTGTATCTGGTTAATACAAATATTCCCGTGATATAGACCGTTGACATGGATGCTCCATACATGTTTGTGCCTTAAGTTTAAAATCAGGACAGATCAATTTCACGATTGGAACCATTGTGCTCAGCAACATGCGTACGGTTGACCTTCTCAAGCACTTTTGAGATGCATTTCTAACCCTTATGGAGGTCCGAGGGTCATTACGTGCTCATATTTGATCCTCCGGAGGTCCCACGAGGCTCGAAACCCCTTTGACGAACTTTTCCAGAAGCCAAAATTTTCTGGGGATTGGCATGATTGTGCCTGACTTTGGCATGGCCACGCCTAACTAGTGGTGTGACCACACCAAAGCCTCCTCGACCGACGTGCCCACGTCAGAGGACAATGTGACCACGCCGGCCAGACATAGCGCCCCACGTAGCCACGCCAGACCCCAACCGCAACGATTTGAACAGTGGCATGACCATGCCCGAGCCTGGCGTGGACACGCCTCGAAACCTGCTAGTGAGTTTTGCCCGTCGGTGAGGCGGTCATGACCAGTGGTCCTCCTTTTACATGGTTCTCCACCCTAAAATAGCATAAATGGAATTTGGGGACCATACTAAATGGGAAAGGTGGCTTAAATCCTTTGGGCAAGCCTTTTTAGGAGGATTAACATGCAGAAAATAGCTCATTTGCTTGGATCGGCACTGGCATCGGCAGCCATTGGAGTTGGAGAGGCAGGGAAGAGCAAGGGAGCTTTGGAGGAGCTTTTAAGGGGCTTTCTTGGAGGATTTCTTCACTTTCTTCAAAGAGAATGTTAGAGAAACCATTTTCCCTCATTTTCCTCATCTATTCCTTATCTCTAGGGCCCGATCGCCCGATCTGTTGGGTTCGATTGACCTTCCTGCATTGTTCATCCGATTTAGGTTTGATCAGCCGTCTCCCGCTCGACTTATTTTTCGGGCTCAATCAGCCATTTCAGCCCAATCACCCAATCTTTTGGATTTGATCGACTGCCCGACATAGATCATCCACTTTAGATCCGATCGGTCATCCTGACCCGATCGCCTAATTTTTCGGGCTTAATTGGCGGCCACGAAATGATTGCCCGATCTTTTGGGCACGATCGGTTGCACCTTGTCGATCACCGACTTTGGGTCCGATCAACCATCCCAGGCCAATCACCCACTCTTTCGGATCGAATCGATCAACGCGCCTTTTTGATTCGACTAGCCACTACGGCACGGTAAATCGATCACTACGACCCGGTCGATCGATCATTTGCATGCTTGTATGCATTTCTTGCATGATTGCATGTCCTTTAGCATGTGCATGAAAATCCTTTGACTTTAAGTCTATTATATGCTTCATTACATGTGAAAATACATTTTTTTATATGTTTTGCTTGTGGCATGTCTTGGATGTCTCCTTGAGCATCCTTGTTTGGGGCGTCTCTCTTAGCACCCCAACCTTGTGCCAACGCCAACTTATGTAAGCCACCCACCCTGCTTCCTATGGCACCACTTAGAGTGTCATATGTATTTCATATTGTGCTAAGCACGAGTCATGCTTCCTAGCCCCTGAACTCGTACGAGACACATGCATGTCATATGCTAGTTATCTATCATATGTCTGTTGTATGTCGCATGCTTGACATTTCTGCATGTCATATGCTTGGCATTTTTCATATGAATGTTGCATATTTTGCAAGTTTGCATGTGTGTCTGATGAGTGCCTCTCGGGTAAGGTGTAAATCCTCTTTATAAATATCCTTTTACTCGATGCAAACTCACTCGTAGCTGGTATCAGCCTGTCGCATGGTGCCCCGGGTCCCCCGAGCAAGTGTGATTTCTTTCCATAGGTAGACCATTTTACCGGTACATCCCGTTTGTGTGTCATGACACATGTATGTATTATTGCATTCATTTGTATGATGTGTGTTTCACCCTTTTGGGCGCCCGTTGTGATTATTTTGTGTTTTGGTCGAACAATCACAGTGTTTCCTTCTTGAATGCTAGTATGTCTGTCCATTTGCTTTGATGGTTTGTCCTACTCGTTGAGAGAGTGACCCGTTTGTTGATTGAGATGCGCAAATGAGCATTTGCACCAGAGGATTTTTCAACGAACAAATGCGAGTTTTTATATCACAAGCAACAAAGAGCACGATTGTACTAAGGATCCAATTACTCTAAAGTATGTCACATGAGTCACGAACCTGCACTTTATACTCCGCTATTTTTAAGTAAAAAAATGGATATTTTTGCTACTGTAAGCACCGCCTTGCTTTAAAATCTATATATGTTAGGTCATTCAGGAGGCTACCTCTTTTAAATGTCAACCCACTCCTAGTGAAATGCTTTAGATCCCTTAGATCTTTAGGACGAGGTTGGCATTGCGACCCCGTCAAAGTCATACGGTAGCAGTGAATTTATCCTGAGCACTTAGATGCTGGTTAGGATGTCTTTTCATTAGATTGTGCGTTAAGCTATGATTTAGGATGCGAGGTAAACTTTTTTCAATGTTCTGACTATAGTTCTTTGTTGGTTTTGTTGCCCTAGCCAGACATGATCTTCCTTGTGTTTTTGTGTGTTTACTAAGTGTGGACGTGAGCATTAGCATGTTAGGTGCGGTCTTTTGCATGAGGTCTTGCTATATATATGCACACACACATGTGCAATAAAAAGGGGGAGCATGTGATGATTTACATGCTAACTTTTGTTTGCAGATGCTGCTTAAATCTCCCACTCTTAGCTCTCCCACCAGACATGGCCCAAATACGTTTGCATGTCATAACCTGTGCTAATATTTTTATGCAAGCCGAGTCATTAGCCCTAGGAGTACTGTAGAAGCCATGATTGTTAGGAGAAACCAGGAAGCTTTTTGCTACACCACTTACGTAGCAGTGATTTCTATGGTGAGAGTTTTATTCAAATCTTCTTGAAGCATCTGTTGATTTAGTATATGTGAGAGAGAAGCGAGTAGCTACCTCCCATTTGCTCATTAATGTGTTGTTTTCTTTGGGGGATGTTCCAGGAAGTTTCTATTCTAGCTTTGTCACTTCTGATTCCGAGCTTGATGAAATCATTAATTTCTTGACCGATTGAAGAGGGGTTTAGAAGGTGAGGAATGATGATAAAATAATTTTTTCTTCATCCAAGTTAAATGCACCTTCTAAGACTTGGCATTACTTCACATCTGCCAAGCCTCTGTCTTCTACAAATTTGAGTGAGGTGATGAGGAAAAGAGCTTCTCTTAATTATTGTATTCAAGCCATGAAATCTATAGGAGTTGTGATTTATCACTCCATCATCAATGCTACAAAAGGGGATCCACTTTAGGGTTAGGTCACCCTTCTACTATTTTCACCCTTTATCAGCATTCGGATCTCACATTTGAGGGATGGGAGGAGCAGTTGCATCCGTTGAAGCCCATTTCTAAGGCTAATGTTAATTTATATGATAAACATGTTGTCTTTGGGCACAGAGCGAGTTCTTCTCAGCCTTCTACTTCCTACTCTCAGCCTAGACCCTCTACATCCAAAGTTTAAACTTATTAGTCCTTAGTTACCTACATTTTAAATTGCATGTTTTAAAAGAAATTGAGGTACGTGGTGTTAATTTGAAATTGTTGCAATTTAGGAAAAGAAAATTATAGTATATTTATTTTAAATTCTATGTAAATAAAGCTAGGCTAGTGTACAGTTAACTTGTAGTTTAACCTGTAGAAATATGGTTTCACTATTTATTTTTGCAAAGAATTATTGAATTGTTTAATTTGGTATACTTAGATATATACTTCATAAGAGTTAAGTCTCTATTCAAATAATATTTTTAGCTATTACATATTAAAGTAAAAGCGTGTGGTAGACATCACTTTAGGGAGTTGATAGTGAAATTCAAAACTATTAAAAATCTATACAGGTATAATAATTTTCCTAAAAATACGGCAAATGATTGAAATTTATGTTCTAAAGCAAGAAAAAATGTGATTAAAATAAAAGTATTGAGTGAGAAGAAGCTTAAGAAGAAACCTAATTAAAAATTAGGTTTCCCTAGATTCTTTTTAAAGTTGAAGCATTATTACATTCCTAAGAATATTTGTAATAAAAGTGTATTTGTAATTTTTTTTTAAAGTAGAGTGCTTAAACTCTATCTTTTTCTACTATTTAAGTTACTTTAGTTAACATTTATTAACTGTTTTGTGAATTAAATAGAAAATCAAGTTTTCCTAGTTAAATGAAAAGTCTACTTTTACCCTAGGACTAGACCTGTTTGTTAGAGTTAATTTAAATTTATACTGGGTTTTCTTGAGGTAAAATTGTAGATAATTTTAATTAGACCACTTCCTTAAATTAATATATTTAATTTTAAAATTATAGTGTTACTTGAGAACAAGTAATGTTTAAGTTTGGTTGATTTTTATGTGTACAAAAATATAGTTAATTTTCTTTATATGTTGCTACATTTTTATGGATGAAATTGTACTTTAAAGAATGTATTTTTTATGTTTTTCTTGCAGGTATATATAGTAGAAGTGGAACGAAGTGGAGAAGAAATAGAGCGAAGCGGAGCTGATATAGAGCATTTGGAACTCAAGAGATTGGCGCCAGCCATTGGGCTCCAAGGCGCTCCTATCTAGTGTCTTGGCGCATCTACCTGGGCGCCTAGGTGCCAATGCTTACCCAACCACACAGAGATGTTGGCGCCAAGGAACCGCCGAGGCACCAACAACTGTTGGGCAGTTTTTTACAGTTTTTCTCCCACTACTTGGGGAGTTATGGAGCGGTTATAGGAGGTTCCTTGGAGTATGCTGAGTACTTCTGACATTTGGGAAGTACACGGAGAGCCTAGAGTCAAAGACTTGTAGCAGGAGAGTTTAGCTTGCATTTTATTGAGAGTTTGGTGAGGAATTTGAGGGATATTTTTAAAGAAGGATATTCAACAAAGCAGCAAGGATTGAAAGATCCTTTGGGGAAAAATTTACAATACTTTGTAAAGAGAAAAAACTAAGTATTGTGTACTATTTTGTATTGCAATATTTTGTAAACACAATTCTAGTAGATTCGCTTTGTTCCAAAAAAGTTTTGTGGCAACTTTTCCATTTTTTGTGAGTAGTTCTTTTTATCTTTTCCCTTGTGATGAATAAGTTGTGTAGGTATATTAGAATGCTTTTAAAATTGGTTTTCAATCTTTAATGGGATGATTTTCCTTTTGCATTTCATTTACTTATCATTCCGACCAAATCATTTGTTAAGATCCGTTGTGAACCCATAATGACTCGAAAGAACTATGAAATGAACAGCTAGGAAGATCACGTTGAACTATAGGGTATAAAGCAAAAGTAAACTATAGGAAGATGCAAATAGATAGGAAAACTCTTTTTGATGAGTTCAAATTGGGGTTTAAGGAATTAAAACCCTAAACTTCTATATGCACACGGGAGAGGGTAAATAAGAGAATTGCTCCTATTTGTCACTAGCCACAATAACAATATAATGTATTCAATCTGACAATCCACTCTACACACTACTTATATCATTGCAAGGGAGGGTAGCTTTTATATCTTGATATTTCTCAAATTCCAAAATATTTAGTATGGTTTCTGTAAGAGTAAATCTTTAATAGTAGTTTGCTAGAATTTAGTAAGACTAGTTAGAACAACCTAACCCAACTTTACTTCCAAGCTAAGACCGATTTTAGTAGGCTATAACTTCTAATAAGTTAATTAAGTCATTCCCTGTGAGATCGATATTCTTGACTAAAAAATCTGATATTACTTGAACGATACGTATAATTGTATAAAGTCCTCAGCACTTAGAATTAGGTGTACCAAAGTGTTAGGCATCGCTGCAAGTCGAGTCGCCATCAATGGGTACAATATTCCTCTCAGGAGGCTAACCTTCCATTAAAATTTAGCTAAACTGCCCTCTTAGTTTGTTCTCAACCTTAATAAAATCTATCAAGTAATAAGATTCAAAATACTTTTTAAAGCACTAAGTTCAAAACAATCATGGAAAATTTACATACATACTACTTAATTCCTATGCATTTACATATCTAACACCTAAATTTCAAAATTTACATATATGTCATCTTACCTATACACGAAAAGGTATATTTCACTTTTTGAAAGTTAAAATGGTACCATTTTCGATTTGATATGAAAAATTTTGGTGGTATAAATGTAAAAGACAAAATGTAGGCATTTGATATGTAAATATATGAGAATTGGATGGTATGTAAATGCCCCGACAATCATTCCTGTGTCTTTACAGAAAAAGAACCAGAAAACCAAACTATGAGGCGTAGAAGCAAATGCCTAACAGTTATAGAATGTACTACTTACAGGTCAACTTCCAAGATGTCGAAAACATAAATCCAAGACCAATAAATGAGGTTGAAAGGTTCCGCAGGGCCTCCGACAGATTTGTAGTGGCAGCATTTTTTAAGATTTGTGTATCTTCTGATAGCCTGCTTAAAAGTTCCCCTGTTCGAGTAACGTCAAAGAATGCTATCTCCTGGCGTAAGAAGAATAAATATTGAGAGCACTAATCACCATTACACTATAATATAAATTTGGAAGATTTATATACATACCACTCAATTCCTATATATTTACATATTTAACAATTAAAACTTTTACATACATACCACATTATCTATGCATGAAAAGATATATTTCACTTTTAAAAGTTAAAATGGTGGTACTTTCGATGTGATATGAAAGATTTGGGAGGAATAAATGCAGAAGGAAATAAAGAAAGGTGTTAAATACGCAACTACAAAGTAGTTCGGCAGTATATATGTAAATGTCTTTTAAATATACATGATAGGAATTGATAAACAGAACTTACTTGATTTATAAGATGGCCGAACAAATCCTTTCTTAAACGAGCAACTACTCTTTCACTCGCAGAACTAAATAACCATGCCCGTAAAGCAGCACAGATTGAGCTAAAACGGTACAGAGAAGTTCTGATAAGCTTGACATAATATATATTACTAAGACAGAGTATAATAAGGAGAATGAAATAATTTAGACCAGTTAGATAAATTAATTTGCAGAGCTTCAACTTTCTCTCTTCCTATTTTCAAAAAGTTTTGATCGAATAAATAAGGAGGTGCTGTGTTTATTGTCCAGAAGCAGGATGCAATACATTTTTTCATCCAGAGTATGTAATATATGAATGCATGAAATTGATGAAAGAAAAAATATTTTCCCAGAGAAAGAAAATAAAACTACTTCAATGGAAGAAAATTTGTATGGCGTAAGTATTAAAAAAAAAAGGATTTCAAGAGAGAACATCAATTAGTTTGATAGTATACGGAACAAAACAATCATATTTTAAATGGTCAGCTATGAATACCACCAACAACAATGAACATGAACTTTAATATGATGCTCTTGACAGAAATTAAAAAGGAAGATTCACATACATACCAATCATTTCCTAAGTATTTACATATCTATCACCTAAATTTCAATTTTTACATACATACCACCTTACCTATGTATGAAAAGGTGAATTCCACTTTTTACAAGTTAAAATGATTGTATTTTTTGCGTTATGAAAGATTTAAATGGTATAAACGTAAAAAGTAAAGTTTAGGTGTTAGATATGTAAATACATGAAAATTGGGAGGTATGTATGTAAATGTTAGGTGTTAGATATGTAAATACATGAGAATTGGGAGGTATGTATGTAAATTAGCCAATAAAAAAAATGCATACCCTCCAACAACTACCAATATGATATCTAATATAGTGTTCTTGACAGCATCTAATGCTTTCTCTCGCTGATCAGGCCCGTTGATATCCTTCGAAACAATGTCTATAATCTTCCCACCATATTTTGGCTGTAAAAAAAGTGAAAATATTATAAGGCTTAACTTTTATACATGCAATTGTAATTACATATTAATCGGAAACAGACAAATTATAAATCCTGCACTTCAGTTTCAAAACCACTCCATCATATTCTTTATAACATTAAATGAGAATGAGCTAAAAAATAACAATTCATTTTCATCATCAATCCATAAAAATCTTAACAAATTATTTAGGAATCTAATCAATAAATCACTATATACAATACATATGCTATAGCCAATAGCACAGAAAAGCGCTTCTCCATCGTTATTTGTTTGAAAAGATGCGGAAAAACAAAATAGCATGCGCTATTTATCCTATTTGCGAACTACAACACATAGCACACATAGCATATCATTTCATTTTAATAGCTCATCTTGTTCATATTTTGCGCTAATTAATTAGATTACTTGTATGCATAAGAAAGCTTTGTTGGAGTTTAGACATAGTGTAATGGGAGTGTTTGTCCTTTTGTTTTTATAACTTTAACCAACATATAAAATGTATTTCTTCTAATATCTTGTCAAAGCAACAAGGTAGAATTGTAGGAAATAGAAATCTTTATATTCCTTTGTATAGTGGATTTTAACCTGCAATGCTTAAGCTTTTTATCATAACCTACCAGGCAGAATTTATAGAATAGATATGTAGTTATCATTGTTTGCATTGCTGAGGAACAAAGCTATAATTTGCTGTTTATGTAAGATATTGACTTAAAATCATCATGAATCACGAAATATTTTATAAGCTTATTATGTGAAAGGTTGAAAATGTTTTAATTGATTTGTTAAGTATTGGCTTAATATCCATACATGAGCCACATAGTGAGTACGAATTAGCTTTTTATGTGAATACTCGATAATGAGTTAGGTGGCTATGTATACAACTAGATGAATGATAGCTTAATTGATAGTAGAAGCATATGATAATCTTGTGTTTTTTGCGAAGGAGTTGAAAATGAATTGAGCTGACGGAGAAGGGCGAAAGAGAGAAAGAAAGACAATATTATTTAAAATTCATTTTCAAGAGTTTGAAGTATCATCTCAACGATAATGTTATCCTTTTTGAAGAACTTCTAAAATAGGCAATTTATAGTATTTATTTAATCCTCTTTAGGAGCTTCTAAAATAGGCAATTTATAGTATTTATTTAATCGTCTTTAGGAGAGTAAATGTCTTAGATTTGACTTATGTTAAGAAAGGTAGAGGTAGACCTAGAAAGACTTGGGCATGTTGCTGGGCATATTGTATAAAAAATGATGATAATTTATTAGAATTAAAGCATTCATGTAGCCAACCCCACTTAGTGGGACAAAGGCTTGTTGTTATTGTTGTTATTTAATCCTCTTTTCTATCATTTCAATAAAGTTATTTGCCTCTTTTTATCTCTGATAAATTATTTATCGCTTATCTTATGAGACTTAGTGTTTCTTTTTTTCTTTATTGAGCTAGAGTCTACTAAGATTTTGGGAATATTGGTGAATATCCATTTTTGCACACTATGATTGTGGCTTTTTATTGTGAATCAAAAGCTCTATCCTCTGTGGTTGCAAAAATCTTACATAAACTTGACAATAAAAATTTTAATGTTCACTTTTTATGAATTTTTATCTTTTGCTGGTACTTTGTGCTTTATCGTACTTACTCTAGTGCTCAACTATAGAATAAAGTTTAACATACTCCTTACCTCTAGTGCTCAACTATAGAATAAAGTTTAACATACGCCTTACTAACAACTACAATTAAGCCTGAGATTTTTTAGCAATAAAATGACGATGAAGTTTAAAATCTAACAATTTGACTGCTCCAAACTGTTTACACTTAAGAGAGTCAACATGTTTGGTGCTTTAGTCAAACAGGGACTTATAAAGGCACTTGCAAGGCACATTAAGATGTTTAAAATCACGAGTGGAGAAGAAAAAATAAAGATGAATAAAAAGATCATCAATAATTTAATTGAATTTATCAAACAATGTCTTGACAAAAGTCTTAAAATAATCTAAAGTAGAAGCTTTGTGGCTCAATATAAAGTCTTTTATAAGATAAAAAGCCCATTAAACTTTATCATAAGCAAAGATTCTACTTGCTTTGCATGCAAAATAATGTGCCTATTAAATCAAATCTAAATGATTTTAATTCCATCATTAGAGATTTAAAAAATATTAATGTCCTTGATTATTGTTAATGTGTTTATTTCCTTCTTAAAAGAATTTTCGAGACACCATACCATATAGATGAGATATACTAGGATGTTAGGTAACCCACCCTCTCAAATGAGGTGATTGCTAAACTTGAAGGAGATAATAAATCAATTGGAAATTTATTGCCATTTTCATGAGAAAAGTAGGTGAATGTATGAACGATGGTTCTAATACTATTAATTGAGAATGCTTGATTATTGGCACTATTCCAATATAAACAATATTTGAGAAATAATCTAATATCCTTAAAGCTTAAGTACTCTTAGTCTTGTAAGATATATGTTCTCTAGTAATGCAAATACCCTTAAAAATTTGTAATCGTATTTTGGTTGTATTGAAAATGAATATAATTGATAAACTCTATGTATTGCAAAGTGCAACATTGAATATTAAATGCATTGGAAACAAATAAATTGATTATGTGTTACAATATGGGGAAGCAAAAGAGAATTAGTTTCTAGGCTATAAGAAAAGGTTTGTAAAATTAAATAAGCACAAGTTGACCAAGAGACAATTGGAGAGATTAGAAGGGACATTCTTATGGTATGTCTCAATATCAAGTTGGATCATTGCAACATTCAAGACAAGAGGATGAAGTGGATAATCAATTTTAATGGCACTGCTTTAGATGCCAATATCTGTGCTACATAATTATCTTGTAGGTACTCAAATCAAATGATATTTAAGCCTACTGAGAAGGAGATTGTGCAATGAGGAGCCTTTTGGGGCTATGGGAGCTTAGAGTGCTTAGGCTAGGAGGATTCATATGAGAGATCCAAATTTTACTAATAATATTAAGTCAAAAGAAAAATTTTACAAGATAAGTTTCCATCTTCTTCTCAGAAAGCCTGAAAATGTGTTCCATAATTATTTGAAATTTATGCATGACTGCATAATGAGATATGTATTATACTTTTTATGTGAAAGCTTGAAACTATATACATATATAATGGTAGATGGTTTCGTCGCTCTCTCTCTCGTTCTGCTAGGGTTCACCTATGGCGGATCCTGGTTTCTCTGATTCACTGCATCTTTCCTCGTCTTCGTCTTCGTCGCCTGTTCGTCGTCGCGTCGAAGCAGCTCGTTGTATCTCGTGATTCAGCCGCTCTCATGTGAAGGCGTCGGGCTCGGGGGTGACATTTGAAGGACGTCTGGGCACAGGCTTCTTCTGCGGCTCGTTCTTTCGTCATCCCGAGAAGCGCGGGCTCCTTTTGCGGCTCGTGGCTCGTTCTTCGTCATCCCGAGAAGTGCGGGCTTCTAACTCCTGTCGTCGCTCGCAGTATTGTGAAAGACGTCTGGGCGCGAGCTTTCCTCTGGCTCGAATCGCCCACTGCTCGACTTCCCTTTCGGCATTTGCTCTTTCTCTACTATCACTTTGCTGTCCCACAAGCCCACCTCCCTCTTCTGGGGATGGCTTCAGACAGATCGTATGTTGTTGCCATTGCGACTGTTCACGCCTCAGGTACACCTAAATTGTCATCTTTTCCTCCATTTGAGTGGGCGGAAGACATCAAGAAGCTTGGTAGGAATAATAGAAAGTCTGTCATTATTTTTACAGAAGATGATGGTATTCAACTTGCTTCCTCTTGTCGTTTGAATTTGATTTAGAAATTTCTATATGGTTATCCCAAAATGGAGCTCATTCGCAAATATTTTGAACTTATGCACCTTGTTGGAGAGTAGAAAAATGGACTATTAGATGAGATACACGTTCTTATTAAAATTAGCAATGAAGAAGATTACATGCATTTATCTGTCAGAAGGATAATCTGGATTGATAACAGAGCAATGAAGATTCTAAAATGGTCTGTGGATTTTGACCCACAGACGGAAACGCCACTCATTCTAGTTTGGATTTGTCTCTCTGTTCTGAAATTTAATTATTTTTCTCAAAATAGTATTGTACTCTATTGCTTCAGCTTATGGAAAGCCACTCAAGACGAATATTCCTACTTTTAATATTTTCTGTCCATCTGAAGCCAGAGTAATTGTTGAAAGAGACATCACTTCACCCGCTTCTGAGGAAATCTGGTTGGGTACACAACACCATGGATATTGGCAGAAGGTAGAGATTGAGCATTTTCCGTCGTATTGTTCGAACTGTCGTATGTTCGGTC